CGATAAAATCGATAAAAGTAATGCACGATTTTAAAAACTAATATTGTATTCGGAATCCCCATGCTCACTTACCCCCCTGTGCCAACTCCCAGCCCCGTAGCTCAAATTTTGCAAAAAATCGATAAAATCGATATCGATCGATACGAAAAGTAGCCTATGACACCCGCCGGGGCCCGAAGTGTATGTGTGCCAAGTTTGGTCCGGATCGGTTCAGAAATGGAATTTTCTATTCGGAACATACGTACACACAGACATACAGACATACATACAGACATTCAGCTTTATATATAAGATTATTTACGCTACATAAGCAAGTTTGGTTTGCTTTGAAAAGTAGCTTTTTGGAATTTTCGGTACTTTTACGTGGTAAACGTAATCAAAGGCGCAGTTTTTATCAAACAAATAATTATAACGAGCTTGGTAAACATGGACGTAATCTAAAATGGGTACAATGTAGCTAAAGGCCTGCTCTACATGACATTCATCAGCGCTCTCTGAAAACATCAGGTTAAAAATTTTTGAAACTCAGTAAAAATTTGGCGTTACTTCTGAGCTGCTCAGGAAGCCGTGGCGATAACATTGCAAAGACAGAGTAGATCAGAGAGCAAATACAGCTATAAGAAGGAAGATAAAAATCTGTATCAAATCGTACCTAAGTTGATCATGGATCGGTGTTCTGTGAGTTCCAGTGAGCGATGAAAAAAAAACGGACAAAACTTCCAAGATAATCTAATACTTCTGTGCTCATCTAAATCCCGAAAAAGAAAACTCGTGGAAATATCTGTATATTAGCTGATAATCTAATACTTGTCGGGAATTATCAATCCCCGAGTTTCACAGTTTCTGCTGTAGGATTGAATTCTTTTAAATTTGTTTTAGTTGTATTTTTGAGGTTTGTACTTTTGTTGTAAGGGATCTTCCATATCTTTTACTCAGGTTCAAAATAATTATTGTTCACCCTACACGCCTACTCGGAGTATTATTCCTCTACGAACCTTGCAATGATGCAAAGTTCGTAGAAGAATATTACTTCGAGTAGGCGCCTACACGCGTACTTCATGTAGACGTGTAATTCTAACATTAGTTTTCTACGCCTCCTGACTATAAGGGCAGCTGATTTGAGTATATTGACTGACATATAGGCTGCCGCCCAAGTCAAGCGGCTCAGGTCCTCACGACCGCCTTGCTCTGGCCTTGCGTTGTAACGTATCTTTAAGGTATTTTGGCACGCGAGCGCCGGTGATTAGGCCGGCAAGGCAAATGAAGACCTCGAGATGAAGGAATGTATGTTGCCTATACTCAAATAATCGCCGGGGGCAGGCGGCCATGCGATTTTTGGGCAAGCGGGCACCGGAAAGATAGTTCGCTGATTTCTTGCGCTCCGCCTGCAGAAATTTGGAAGAATATTGTTCAATTTTTTGACAAATGCTCGGAGAAGTGTCGCGGTTTTCTTATGGATTAGTTGCGGCGCATTGGCCGCATTCTCGCGGACTTTCCGCGAGAATATGCAAAATTAATGAGGGCCGCGCGGTCCTTTGTGGAGGACCGCACAGCCCTCAGGTACTTTCCGCTGAGAGAAAGTACCCCAAACTTGGGTACTCAGATAATCGCCGGGGGCAAGCGGCCATGCGATTTTTGGGCAAGCGGGCACCGGAAAGATAGTTCGCTGATTTCTTGCGCTCCGCCTGCAGAAATTTGGAAGAATATTGTTCAATTTTTTGACAAATGCTCGGAGAAGTGTCGCAGTTTTCTTATGGATTAGTTGCGGCGCATTGGCCGCATTCTCGCGGACTTTCCGCGAGAATATGCAAAATTATTGAGGGCCGCGCGGTCCTTTGTGGAGGACCGCACAGCCCTCAGGTACTTTCCGCTGAGAGAAAGTACCCCAAACTTGGGTAATAAAACCATCGATGACACCTCTGCCAGGTAGAGTCTTACCTTAGCTCGGCGTACGCACGAAAGTGCATAAAAGGAGTCCGAGCGCTTGCTGAAAGTTTAGTCAGCGCTCGCTGAAAGAAATTATTTGACGAGCGCTTGCAGAAAATTCTGTATTGCTGCCCGCTGGCAGAAAAGGGAAGTACCGCTAGCTGAAGGTTTGGCCGCGCTCCAAAATTTTGCTGACCGCTTGCAGAAAAGCGCGAGTTTGCGGACCGCCTGCCCCCGGCGATTATCTGAGTAATAAAACCATCGAAGACACCTTTGCCAGGTAGAGTCTTACCTTAGCTCGGCGTACGCACGAAAGTGCATGAAAGGAGTCCGAGCGCTTGCTGAAAGTTTAGCCAACGCTCGCTGAAAGAAATTATTTGACGAGCGCTTGCAGAAAATTCTGTATTGCTGCCCGCTGGCAGAATAGGGAAGTACCGCTCGCTGAAGGTTTGGCCGCGCTCCAAAATTTTGCTGACCGCTTGCAGAAAAGCGCGAGTTTGCGGACAGCCTGCCCCCGGCGATTATCTGAGTACCTGCTGCCTTAAAGAACTGCTGGTCCTTTACATGCTTATGCAAGCTGTTTGAGGACCAGTGGTGCATTGGGCGTCTAATGATGGCTTTGCTTCTTCACCCAATTTAGAACTTGGAGATATCTGCGCGTGATTACGCGTCTCAACTTCTCAGACGCGATTTCCAGAAGATAGTTCATTACTCCAAATGGATTATGTAAAGGGCTTGTCGTCACTATGCTCTGACATGACTCGCGATTCATGCCTCAAGAAGGGAAGCTTGTTACCCATTCTGTCATTTGATAATTCACTTGTGTGATTGATCGATCGGGGACATACTTTTACTCAGTGTAGAACAGCTAAAGGTTTCTTTTGACATCGAATGTTCGAATGAATGCTCTTAAATATTCGAATATTCGAATGACTGTCTTTTAAGTTGGGTCGAATTTTCGAATAGCCGTTTTTTAAAATTCCTCGAGTAAACGAATATTCGAATAACTCATTTTTCCAAATCATCGAATGAACGAATTATTCGAATACCGTCCTTTTTCATTTATTCGACTATTCGAACAATCGAATAATTGGACTGTTTTGAATATTCGACTATTCGAATATTCGAATTGTCGAATATTTCGAATAAATTATTCGAACACGAATATTCGGTTCTAACTATAGAATATACGACCGTAAGGGAAGTGCCGCCCGCTGAAGATTCTGCCACGCCCCAAAATTCTGCTGACCGTCTGCAGAAAAGCGCGAGTTTGAGGACCGCCTGCCCCCAGCGATCATCTGAGTATGGGGCTGAGAGGTGGCACAGCGGGTAATCGAGCATGCTGATAACTAAAACAGCGGGAATAGTGATTTGGCATGCAGATGTGGGCACAGAGAAAGGTTCTACAGGGATAGGGATGAGAGCTTTATCATAGCGTTTTGATAGGGCCGGGCGGAGCCTGGTAAGCCAGCCAGTATTCACTAGATACAACCCCAAAAATTAAAAATCACGGATTTCGTTAAAAATTCGCTAGTGGAGTTACTAGACCTGCTCTGATCACAAAAATGATATTCGTTTTGCATGGTGGGCTCTTTTTTGAGGGGTTACGGTAAGCATGCGATATGGGGTCAAAATCTCGAAATTCGTTATAACTTTGCGTAGGGGGAGGGTCAACATGCTGATCTCGGATATCGCAGTTTTTTCGCACAATAACGTCTGGTGGTAGGCGTATGGTGGTAGGTGCTATGGTTACGGGAGGTGTACGATAGGGGGGTCAATATCTAGATTTGGCTGGAATTTGGTCTGGAGAGGATATTTAGGATGGTGAACATGGACATCATCTTGATTTCATAACTAGCGTCATTTCTCAGCTACTGGGTATACGACAGATAGGTAAAATTCCAAATTTGCTCAAAACGTTTCTAGAGGTGTCTTCAAGCATGCTGATAACGAATAGCAGGCTCGCTTGCTGCAAACGCTTTGTTGTGGAGTTATCATGATCAGCGTTTAAATAAACATCCTCGCTTTTCAGACCAATTAAGATCCCAAGAATCCACGAAAAGGCTTTATAAGCGAAATGAGCGCGATATTTGGTTATGAGCAGATTCAGTTCTACGTGACCCCTTACCAAATATCTACCGTAACCATACAAGGAGAAGTTTTCGTGCGTAAAGAGTTTGGTATTCGTTCAGCAAGTGAATAATTCCCTTACGCAAAGTTTTGACGAATTCTGAGACTTTGAGCCCATACCGTATGTCTACCGTAGCCACCATAAGCCGTTTGGGCCAGCAGGTCGAAAAACCCCTCAACGCAAATTTTCAGCGAAATCCGTGATTTTCAAATTTTGGATTGTATCAGGTGGAATAGTACCGAATTTTTAAAAAATCAAAATAATTTTAATTATTTACAATTAGTACAAACAAGTCCCTTACACATTTTTATAACTCATACATATAACTTCCACTTGTGTTACTGACACTGGATGAGGTATACGCTGCTGCATGACGAAGGCGCAATATCTTTGTGCGCGAACGCGGTTTTATTGACCGCAGAGCGCAGGAGACGCAGGATTTACAACGGTGAGAATACGCGCGCCGCGTTCGCGCCCGCTTAACTGATGCTGCTTCTGCGCCTTCGTCATGCAGTAGCCTCCAATAATGTGAGAAAAAGATCAGCACGTAAACAAGAGGTGAGATAATTTTTTCGCAAAAATTCTTCAAGCATGTTTACTCCGTTGAAGAATAAAAGCGAATGGCAGCTGTACGAAAAGTATCCAAAGCATCGCAATCCCTTATGTATGAACATCCTTTCGACGAGGGGAGCGGCGTCTCTAATAATGGAAAAATCACAGCGGCGCTCACCCGCGGCCCCTATAACGGGCTCCCCTCGCTGCAGGGATGTTTATGCATACAGGCCTAAATCGTTCGCAAGACGCGGATCAGCACACTAATTTTAACAGATTTGTCACAGTTTATCTAGAGAGAGCTAAGCTAGCTAACTATAGAATGATACACTGCAGTGCGACAGGTAAACAATAGCGCAGTGCATCACGGGAAGAGGCCTTTTAAACGTACCTCGCACAGAGTGCAGTAGTGCGTGATCTCCCCTTTTGCCCGAGGCTGTGGCTTGAGCTGTTTACCACGAGACGTGGCCACGTCAGCGACCAATTTGCAGAAAGCAAGAGATCTAATTAGTTGTCCTCTGATCAAAGTGAAGACTTTTTGATTCGTAAAACGGATATTCTTTGCCAATTGCCAGCAAAGATGCTGCATTGGAACCAGCGACTTGTAATTCTAAAAGAGAAAAAGTAGGGTCATGATATCTGCACCAAGACTTACGCAAATGGTTCCCATCACAACGACGCATTTGTCTGTCTTGCGCTCACCTGAAGTTTGTTCCATTCATAGCTGAAGATAGAAATCTGCAGCTGAGAAGCGGTTAGCGGTCCAACATTCCACGCAATGTTGTTGCACCATCCTGTAGCTTGCACCCAATGCACACAACCTCCACCAACCCAAACAAGATCGCCAGCTTTTTGAGTGAACCTGTGGTATATGATAACTTCAAGCACAGCAGCAAAAACAGATAACATGTTCACTGAATTTCCGTCTAGTGCAAAAGTGGTGGGTGTCGTCGGACACGCCATCGCGCAAGTGCGAAGCCATGAAGTCAAACCAGAAGCGAGAAAATTATTCGGGTATTTAGAGTTACGCCCTGGTAGGACATTGGACATTGGGTCAAGGGGGGAACAAGAACGGCCCTTCCGAGCACCCCCGACATATCTTGGAAGATGCCGTCCATCCAAACTGAGGGTGGTAAGATTTTGATGCTGTATAGTACGAGCCCCTGTTCAAGTAATAGCCGATAATAGGTCATGCTGCAAAATATGAGTTCCAAAGCGAGAAAGTCGGCCCGGACCAGCGACTCGGACTCCCGCAATCACGCCATTGCGGGCTGCGTTGGTCACTTTCATTCACAGTAAACGGGTGCAGCACGCGGGAAGTTTGCAGCTAATAGTATTTCTGTAAAGGCAAGCATGCTCTAAGCACTATCGGACGCAGTTTTTCTTCCTCTTTCCAACAGTCATGTCTTGGAACGATTTGCTTTGGCGTTTCCGGGATAATTGCCGTTTCAAGCCCATAGTTTTTACTGTGCCCAGCTTTGGTTTTTTTTAGAACCCTCATTTTGAATTTCGGGAAAAGCTCTGATAGCAGTTCGATAGCATAACAAAGTGCAGTGCAGTGAGATTTTTTGGCCCCAATAGCGGGCTTAAAAATTTGAGAATTATATTTCTGATGCTATCAAATTCCACTTTTGGTCATCCCAAAACTCACAGAACGTCAAACGGAGCACAATTAAGGTGTCATTCAATGCGCCTCTTTCTCCTCTTTCTGGCCTTTTCTTTCCTCATTCGTGGAGTATTTCGCGACAAAATTATCCAAATTCCTGATTTTGAACCCGTTTCATGCTGTACCCGTAGGATGCGAGATTTGATATTTTGAAGGGCAAACACTCTGATGCTTTGTAAAGTTAGTGTGTCATCATAATCAATCTTTGCAGATTGCAATTTCGGACGACTGTTAGTGTTTGGAGCCTTTGCGCATTTTGCGACTTTGCAAAAATGAAGACTTCTGGAATAGTTATCCTAAGAATACTAACAAGGGAAGGATACTAACTTATTTGCCTTTTAAGATGAGACACTTATGTTTGGAATTAGCTTTGAACGCTGATTCCAAATATGCTGTTCCTAGCTGCTTATTGCTATTCCGAAGCGAGTTATGGGCTTGCTGTTGTAAGTAATCAACAAACTTCTGAATGTCGTACGACGGCGTGTAAATAAGAATCTGCTCTTTTAGAGTGCTAGGATGCTGAACTAGCATCAGATTAATTCTTTCGATCTTGAAAGAGAGCATTACACATTACAGATGCAAAGCCACCTAGATGTCGACAAAGTAGCATCAGTAAAATCAAGGAGCACGCAAAGTTTGCATAGAAAAGAGACTATAACTCGCTTCCGAATAACGCTAAGCAGCCTGGAACAGCATATTTGGATTCGGCGCTCCAAGCTGATTTTAACTACATGTGCCTCATCTCAAAAGAAGAATCCAAGTTAGTATCCTTCCCTTGTAAGAAGCCAATTGGAGGTGCGAGAAAAATGCATTGCACTACACTTTGTCACGCTATCTGACTGCTATCAAAGCAAAAGGCTTATCAGAAAGAGGAGAAAAAGGTGCATTGAATGACACCTTAGGTTGACAATCGTGACAGAAAAAAAATTAGCGCTAATACGCACTGTATGTAAATTCCAGCTTTCATATGGAAGAATGCGTGACTGTCAATTACGCAGGCGCCTCGCGCTACAGGCTGGTAGTAAGAGCTTGGCCGACTCGCAAGACATACTATTCAATCTTTTACAAAGGCTTTTACACTACCGTATTAAATTTTACTGTTTGATGGAAATTTGGCCCCAAATCTTGTAAAAAAGAGATACTGAATGAAAAATTAGGAGGCCACTATGAATCTGAACACAGAATATGTACTTTTGTTCCATATAATAAAGTGTCCCGTAAACATTTCCTCTGGCCCTGCTGCCTCTCGCGCGGGTTACTGTAACGCCGCATCGGTACATCCAATTGACACACAAGAAGTAATGGACCCCCTCCCCGGAAACCAGAAAAATCAGAATCGCGTCATTGAATGTGTTAATATTCGAACATTGGACTTTCATGAAGAGTCTCTAAATGGTTTTAAACAAACATATGAAAGGTTATACAAACCTGTAGACAGGAACACCCTCGCTGATCAGGTCTTCAAAGTTTGGCCAGAACGAACCTTTCAGGAAATCCAGATTCCGCCTAGATTACCCATAGCTGACAGTAAGCTCTTTCTAAGGAACATCTCAAGACAAGCACATGTACACCAATGGAGACATATCAATGTGAAAAATGAAAACACTGTGTCCACCATGGCATTTGAGAGGAAATAAAGCGAGATGAAGCAAAAAAGGAGATTTCAAGGCAAGACTCACTCTCTGCACATTCGCTCGATAACGCCCCAGTACTCATATGGGCATCCAAACCATTCACAGTCACCAGGACCGACATTGATATTTATGGAAGCAAAACAGTTGTTCTCTTGATGAGCTGGAGTGCGCGATCCTGGTACCTGAAAAAAGGGAAGAATACACGCATAAACACTGAGCTGAAAGCAAACCTTCATGTATAGTTGTGTAGTATTCATTCCCAAAACCGTGTGTCCAAGATGCGAAAGCATATTGCAACCCGCGATGATGCGACAAAAAGGAGGCATTTTGGAAAGTTCCTTAAACCGCAATGCATAGTAAAACTACGTGATCCATACAACAACTTACTTGTATTTGGGCCTTCCACTTTACATCATCCGAAAGATCGACATTTGTTCCGAATTTCAACATCTTTAGAGGCATAGCACATTCGTCTCCGTTTATCCCTATTTATTATACGTAAATGATTCAACTGATATATCGAGTGACTCAGACCGCACCTCGTTTTCTTTTCACTCCAGTGGATTCGGCGACTTGCTGGGCGTATTTGGCTCCAGCGGAGCGTAGTTTTTCAGCTTCCTCTTAAAAACTCCCAATAATAAAATGGTGCATTCAAGTATTCATATGTACAAATGTAAAGGTTGTGTAAGTATTGTCTATTCGTTGAGCGCACGAAGTAACACCACCACGGTCAAGAGTGGGGCGTGGCACGCCACACCTGGGGGTCATAGAGGGGTCACGGGGGGGGGGGGGGAGGGGGGGTCGTTATGGAGGTGATAGTGATGTTAAAGAAGGTCATTCAGCAATGTCTGACAGGCCCATTGTACGAAATCCAGCACTGATGTTTTGGTCTAGCGTCGTACACGCACTTTAAGCATACTAAAAAAACTTTTGAAAGCATAAGAGCGCCATTTTCGTAATTAGCATGTCAAATAACCCCTGAAAGCCAAGTTTCAATGGATTTTGAGATTTCCAAATATTGGGACAATGAAGTGAGGTGGTCATTCTCGGCATGCTGACTTCGTTTCAAAGGTGAGTAGAATACTTCTTTTTGCACTCATCATAGGGTACTACTACTTCTTTGCTCGTATTAGGAATCCCACTTTGAATAATTTCCAAACTCTGGAATTATGAGCAAGCCAAATCGTTTGTCCCACTTTTGGTTTTCAATTTCTCAGACTAGCAAAGACCAATCAGGCTCAAATCACTTTTGTGAAAGTTAGGAGGATCAGGCTATCGAATATACTTGTTCTTGCCGCCCTCCCTCGCGATTCACGTAGAAGCGTAGACTTAGCCTATTACCGTAATCCAATATTTTCGCTGTGTTTTCCATTAGAAAAAAAGATATCCTTTCCTAAGAGCAACAATTTTGCATGAAATTCCTGCTATGTAGAGAAGGTTTAGCAGTAGACCATATAAAAAAGACAGGGACTTGAATGCTTTGAAGGGTAAGTTAATGGGTTGTGTGGGACACCCCCTAAAAAGCTGTGGCCGCCCCAGCTTTTTGGGGGTTGTGCCACACCCCATTAACTTGCCTTCAAAAAGAATTTTAGCGAACAAGATACATACAGTTTGATAGCCTGATTCTTGTAGTTTTGTAGGAGTAATTTGGGTCTGATTCATCTTCTTCACTCTGAGTAAAAGCTGGTGAAAGCGCAGCCATTGAAAGCGAAAAATAAGACAAACGAGATTTTGTCCTGCTTCTAATTCTTTAGTTTGATGGTTCTTTGAAACAGAATTCATGGTTCGGTAAATAGGGATTGACATGATATACGAATGTGCCTAAATATGCATGATAGAGCCCCTATGTCATGCCTACGGAAGAGAAGATGGGGGAGGGGTCGTATCCGCCGCTCAAACCGCCGGGGCAGGCGGTTCGCAAACTCGCGCTTTTCTGCAAGCGGTCAGCAGAATTTTGAGGCCTGGCCAAACCTTCAGAGGGCGGCACTTCCGTGTTCTGCCAGCAAGCAGCAACACAAAATTTTCTGCAAGCGGTCGTCAAATAATCGCTTTCAGCGAGCGAGTGCCAAACTTTTAGCAAGCGCTCGGACTCGTTTTACGCAGTTTTGGGCGTACGCCTAGCAAAAGTAACTCTCTTCATAACAGAGGTGCCATCGATGGTTTGATTACTCGACTTTGAGATACTTTCCCTCAGCGGAAGGTACCTACGGGCTGTGCGGTCCCTCACAAAGGACCGTGCACATTCTCGCCGAATGTCCGCGGGAATGCGGCCACTGCGCCGCAACTAACCTATGAAAAAGCCGCAATTGTTCTCAAAGCATTCGTCTAAATTTTCACCAGCATTCTCCCAAATATCTGCAAGCGGACCGCAAGAAACCAGCGAACTAGTTTTCCGGTGCCCGCCTGTCCATAAATCGCACGGCCGCCTGCCCCGGCGATTATCTGAGAACGAAAGAGCGAATTAGCTCGCCCACTTCTACAGGAGCTACGTGATTTTGGCTATCGAACTGTATGTATGTTGTTCGCTGAACCCCTCTTTGGAAGTAAGTTGAAGGTGGGACAACCCATTGACTTACTTCCAGAAAAGCTGTGTCTAACTTACTTCCAGACAGGATGTGGTTGCCACACCTTTTTAGGGGTTGCGCCACACCCTATAAACTTACCTCCAAAGCATTCAAACACCTGTGTTTTTCATATCGTTGCCGCAGCTAAACCTCCTTCTTTACACCTTAGAAACTTCAGTCGAAATCATTTCTCCTAAGACATATACAGGGTGTCCCAAAAAGATGTGCACACTGTTTGATTGTTAATAACTCTCTTGTATTCACGTCTTTTACCGAATATGAGGTACCATTCTTTAGAGCGAGATTCAACTTAGACTTACAGTATGGAGCGATTTATCAGCAGCCCTTCATTACTGTAGGATTACGGTAGGAATTTCGAGGAGGATTTCAGGCCGTTGGAAGCGGTATTTTGCCTGAGAAATAAAGCCAAACAAGCCAGGAACTCTTGAACTGGGTTAATCGAAGTCGCTGATTCTAAATATGAAAGTTGCACTTCAGTATACTATTTCTTTCATGAGTTATTTCAGATTTAGGGCAACAACTAATTTTCCAATGTTCGTCAGAAAAGCGAATACGCCATCAAGAAAGCTTGAAAAACTGGTGGAAAGTTATGTAGTGAAATCAGCACGCCTGAAAACCTTGCTACGCAATTTTTTAGATTTTTTGTGAATCTCTTTCATCAAAAGGCTTATTCCACAGTGATGCTGTATGCTGAAAGTTCATACCGTAATCCCACAGTAGCAAAAAGAGATTAGAGTTTCGCTTAATACTGTAAATCTAAGTTTATCCTCGCTCTACAGAATGGTACCTCAAGCTCGGCAAAAGACATGAAAGCAAGAGAGTTATTAACGATCAAACAGTGTGCACCTTTTTGGGACACCCTGTATATATATATATATATATATATATATATATATATATACCTTATATATATATATATATATATATATATATATATATAAGGTCGTTTCAAAAGTAATTTCGCTTTTTTCAAACGGGCGCCACATTTGATGGAACCAAAGTTTCTAAGAGATCTTGGAGGCATTCGATGCAGAATTTCATCCTCTTTCCAATGATTATGGAAATGTTGCAAAACGTTTTATGAACTTTCAGAAAATAACCAAAATCTGCGACCCATGCTTTCGAGATGGTCAAGTTTCACAATTTTTTAAAACTTTCATATCAATCCTCAGAAGGAGTTTAAGTAACGATTCGATAGAGTAAACCTTATAGAATATAGTACTACTTTTTTCTCTTTCTCGTAGCTCGCCGTAATTTTTTAAAAGATTTTTTAACAAAGCCATCGAATTTTGGCAGTCCCACCTCAGCCATAATCGCATCAAACATCAATAGTTACTCGGAATTTCAAGCTTTCAAGATGATAGATTTATTTCAAGATATGACTTAATATTGGTTTTACACTGCAAGTGAGAGTTTACGGATTCGAAATATCAAATTTCGGGTTTTTCGGGTACAGCCTGGGGCTCGCTGAAAAATGAGTCATGATGATTTCTCTCCGGAATCTAAACGAATCGGAAACAAAAAAAAAACACCTGTTAAAAAGAGGAGAAAATGCTGCATCGAATACTGCGCGAGCTGCTCTTTTTTGATATTTTACGAGGATTTAGCTGCACAAGTATGGAAATCGGTAGCATCAGTTAAAATTCTGTCAAAAATGTATGACAAGCTATGGAAAAGAGATAAAAGTACTGCTGTATTCTATAAGGTTTACTCTATCGAATCCTTACTTGACTCCTAGTACTCTGCGTTGATACCACTGCTT